ATTGTAATAAAAAAGGGGACGGAGGGAGTATTAACTAACTCCACATGCTCATTTTTACACTAACACTATCTATAATGCTCCACCAATGCTCACTCCAAATCAGCAGCGACTAAGTACTGTATCAGTGTTGAGTACACTCGCCATCTCACTCACTTCACACCAATATTGCCTCAGATTGGAGTGATTACATAATTTATAATATTGTTTAATATTTATCTGTTTCTGATTAAATGAAATAAATTATATATATATATATATATATATATATATATATATATTTAAATAATAAATAACTTATATTTTATGTCTTTTTTATTTCCCAAATTTTTATATTTTAATTTTTTCTATCCAAACCCTTTTTCATTTTAAACGGTTTTAATTATTTTCTTTTCAATTTAATTTTTTTTCTCTTTTTTACTTTTTTTTTATATAATGTTGTTTCATATGACACATTCTCAAAAAAGAAAAGAAAAAACTTTTTATACAAATTTATTTCTTTTACTTTTTTTATAGCACAAAAAACATAAAAACTTGTTTAATTTAAAGGAAAATATAAACGAGACATAATTTATACTTAAAATATGTTTCATCCCAAAAAAATAAATAAAACAAAGTTCGTTCAGTTTGAGAGTGTTTGGGAAAAAAAATAAGTATGACATAACATCAAAATTAAATATGCAATATTGGTATCGTTTGATAGATGTTGTGAAAAGATTTCTGATGACATTTTATTTTTCAAGTTATAGCTTACATACCCAAATTTATGAACAAATTAGATATTACGGTAGAAAAATGAATTGAAATGAATTTACAATATAATATTTAAAAAAAACTTTTGCACCAAGTTTTTCTGTGATTGTGCTCACGGTAAAACTCACGCTATAGGATAAGGGGAAGAGTAGGGTGGTGTTCATGCCTCGTCGCCTCTGTTAGCTTATTCGCGTACAATACGCGTATTATACACTCGTACGTATGATACACGTATTATACTCCCGAATACAAATTTTTAATGGGACGAACGTATAATACACGTATTTTTGACCCCAAACGTATTTACGAATTTTATACGTATTATATTGCAAAATCATTGGGGTCAAATTCAGATGAGATCAAATAAATTGGTTGTCTTTCTGCAAAAATACAAATCTTTAAAATTTGGCGACTCAATTATTATAAAAGTATTAAAATTCGAATTGTAGTTCAAGTCATCCTCCAATACCTTTTGTTAATAAAATGTCACCTACACCCTACCAGTTTCTTCGACTTCGTCTGGCTGAAAATCCAACATTGCATCTGCACTAGCGAATAGTAGACCAACATTTTTCTCTATTTGTTTAGATTTTGAAAATGTGGTCACTTTTTTGTATTTAGTCCTTAAGATTAAATATTTGTCCACGTTTAAAAATACAAATTTGATTATATATATATGATCTAAATTCAAAAAAATCTAAGTTCGTAACTATATATTTGTATTCTAAAAATAAAAAATATAGACTAAATTTAATTTTACTCAACTTTTAAATTGTGTAAAGCATTATTTAGTAAGTTCAAATTTAAATTATAAAGAGACTTAAATCTTCCTTTTAAATTCATGATAAACATTTAATCAATTTTGTAAAACATAAATTGTCTAATAATATAAATTTTTCATGTCTTAAATAATGTTGGCTTCATTTTTCAGAATGTGTTCTTACTTTGAATACATTTTGTGAAAGTACACAATAATAATTAGATTGAAAGATCTCCTTTGGGTACACATGAAAAAAATGAATAAACAATAAATCGTAGTGTTGGTTAAATTTTTAGAACTTTATGATGTATTTAATTCAATTTCAAAGTTTAAAATGTGTTTCTTATTAAAAATATATGCATTCATTATAAGCCGTATTTTTGAAATATCAGACGTATAATACACGAACGTATCCGTATACGTACTCCGAACGTATAAAATGTATAATAAGACGTATTTTAAAAAAGTGGTCCGTATTATACACGAACGTACGAATAGACGTATTATACCCGTATCCGAATAAGCTAACAGAGCTCGTCGCTCCACAATGGAAATTGCAACATAGGATCACGGAGCTTGTGCGAGAGGCACTTCTAGATTTGGCAAAACAGAACCGGGACCAAAATATCCAAAACCGAAACCGAAATGATTTGAAAAATGAAGATCTGATATATAACTGAAAACCCGAAATGATCTGAATCGAACCCAAACCAAACTAAATCATTCATATCCGATTTAAATCCGAAATCGATAATATCTGAACCGATTAAATCCGAAACCGATTAGATCCGAAACCGATAATACCCGACACTGATAAAATCCGAAACTGATTAGATCTGAAACCGATAATATCCGAACCCGATTAGAACTAAAACCGATAAATTTGGAACTATGTTTGCCTTTCAATAAGCATAGTATATTTTAAATTTTTTACTTTTATTTTACCCTTTGAACTAATTACATTACTTGCTCATTCCCTCATAAAATGGATTATCTACTTGAAAAAAAGTACAAAATTTCATGCCTTTACTTTTATTTTACCCTTTGAACTAATTACATTACTTGCTCATTCCCTCATAAAATGGATTATCTACTTGAAAAAAAGTACAAAATTTCATGCCTTAGATTTATTATATTCAGAAATTAATGATAAGTTATACATATAAATGATAACGCACAAACAAATTAAATTTCCGTGATTTTTTAATAGTGAAGTGTGATATTCTTTTTGGGACGAATGAATTATATGATAAATTGTATGGAATAACTAGATTTTATCCGAATTTCGTATAATTACAATAAATTGTATTGATTTGAGAGTTAATTTAATTAGTTTCAAACCAATTCACTCAATATTAGTCAATAACATTAGGTGCTAGTGTTAACATTTTGAAAAGACTCTCTAGCTACAGCATTTAGTGTTATCATTTTCAAATTTGATCTACACCATTACATTTAGGTGTAAAATTAATTATATTTGACTCTATTTGATGGTGTAAATATAGCTGGGTGGGTTAACCGGGTTTGACCTGGACACATTCGACCCGTAATATAAAACACACAACAAGAACACAAACTATGACCTAGACCGGGTAAATCTCCTCAGTCCGAATTATATTTCTTACTCTATCTCAAGAGTGAACTTTAGTGAGAGAAAAATTGGATCCCCCTCCTCTATCAATATCATCATATTTATAGAGGAGGATTTGTGACCCTCTCCTGTTCATCCATGGACAAAATAGGAAGCTCGTGGGAAGGTCACTGTAGATAATGGAAGCACTGTACAATCATAAAATTTAGCAACTATAAGCCAAGACATGTACTGTTCAATCAAAGACTATAGATGGATATTCTCAATCCAATCAGCCCTGCAAAGTGACAAACATCCCTTTCACTGTTTGTCTTGTGATGGACGAATGGCGGGGTGGTCCCTCGATCTTTGACGTGGTTCACCATGCCTGAGATACTGGACCAATGTTTGTCAAGTAAGATGATATGACCGGTCACCTTTTTCTCAAGGGTTGACCGGTCATTTCTTGAGCTCAACCCGTCTCTTTGGTCTTCTTGAATTCTTCACAACATTAGGCGACATTTTGGCTATCACCCAAAATGTGACCGGTCACTTTTTTAGTGGAAGTGACCGGTCAAATTTTGACCCATCCCAATCGAAGAGTTAACCTCATTTGGTGATTGGTAAAAGTGACCGGTCATAATTTGACCTGTCCCTTTCGGTTTCCCGGGTCGGGTATAGGGATATACCCATCAAGAAGTCCTCCACTTACCGGCCTTGTGAGGAAATCATCGAGGGCGGGAAGTATACTTGTGTTGACCTGTCACTTTTGAAATCATCAAGTCATTCCCATGACCTATCCTTCTTTGAAATCATCAAGTCATTCCCATGACCTGTCCTTCTTTGAAATCATCAAGTCATTCCCATGACCTGTCCTTCTTTGAAATCATCAAGTCATTCCCATGACCTGTGCTTCTTTGAAATCATCAAGTCATTCCCATGACCTGTCCTTCTTTGAAATTATCAAGTCATTCTTATTGACCTTTATATGGAGACCTGCCCATTTCTTGGATTCATTGTCTTCATATCAGACCTGGCATTTTTGGATTTGTGGAATACGCTACATGACCTGTCCCTTCGGGTTAGTGGATGTCCAAACGTTGGGCCTGGCCTTTTAGTTTTGGAATTTCCCCCCAAAACCCTTCACCTTCTCCCTTGAAAATTTGAATTTCCCTCCTCATCATTACCCTTTCCACGTGGCATCCCCTCAGCCTTCCACCTGTCGCCTCGAGTTCCAACCCGCCCCTCTCTCTCCTATAAATACTCCTCCAACCCACCTCACTTCTTCACTTCTTCTCTTCGCTCTCCCACCTTTCACCGGTCAGCTTTCTCTCTCTATCTCTTTGCCAAGTAAGTCCTCCAGTCCTCCTAGTCTTTTAATTCTTCCATCTTTCCATTTTTGACCGGTAGGCCTAGGTCATGTCTTCTGATAGCCAAAACATATCTGGCCAATCCTATGGATCAGGCTCTCAGCCCTCCTCCTCTTCCCACTCTGGATCTTCTTCTCCTCCTCCTAGTCCTTTGATCCGTCGCCCCTCCCAACAGTCTAACTCTCAGGCCCGGGAAATAATTGCCCAGGAGCCTGTCCCTTTGAATCAACTGCCCGGTCGATTCAATCCCAAGGTCCTCAGCTAGGAGCAATGGGAAGAACGACTGGGATCTTTGGGCTTCCTAGCCCTTGATGTTAGACCGGTATTCAAAGAGTCTTCTAGGGTTACCAAAAAGGTTTTGGCAGAAGTCCGTACCATCCTCCCACCGGGCTACAAGGTCCTTTCCAAAACCACCTGGCCCAACATCATTGAACCCCACCAGGGAACCCAGTTGGGTTTTCATGTTGCTTCTCTGGAGGGAGGTATCATTTTTCCTCTTCGCCCCCTCCTTATTGAAATCTGTAAGAAGTTTCATGTTTTGCCCGGTCAACTTACTCCAAACGCTCATCGGTTCTTAAATTGTTTTGTTAATATCTGTGAAAATCTGAAAATCAACCCTTCCCTTGAGCTTTTCCTCCATATGTACGAAGTCTTGCCTGGGACTAGTAACTACCCGGGCTTCGTCTATTTTCATTCTCGTAATAAGAGATCTTTTGTGACCGGTCTTCCCCCTAGTCACAAAAGATGGAAGAAAAGATTTGTTTTTCTTGAATTCCCCCCTGACCAATTTCCTTTCCCAAACCCTGAGTGGGCTGACCGGGTTATAAAACCTGAAAGGGTTCATCCGGAGCCCACTAAAGATCTTGAGGACTCCTGCGAGAAACTTCTCAAGGGTGATCCTGTGACCGGGAAACCTTATGCCTATGGGGGCTGGGTATTCCGGCTATCTAACCCGGATGGGGGTGCGTCTGCGACCCATGACGCTGAGGATAACCGGGCTGATTCCCCGGATGGTCACGCTGAGGCCGGCTCTCCTCATCCAGGTTGGTTAATTTTCTTCAACCTTTTGATTCCACTTTCATTTTGATAAGGTGTAACATCTAACCGGTCACTTTTTTCTTTTTGGCAGACATGAACTTCACTAGGATGTCCACTCTTTTCGAAGATGATGACGATGATGTCGAAGTCCTCAACTCCAACCGGTCTCCCAATCACAACCCTCCCTCCCCTCCTCAAAACCCTGGAGTTGAAGGGGCTTCAACTGCCCGGTGCTCTTCCTTTGACGATCTCATTCGAGATAAGCAGGTGAAGTCACCCTCAGCCCTCCATTTCTCCGAAGGCGACCGGGTTGATATTCTCCAGGCCCAGGTTGAATCCAAGTCCAAGGAGGCCGGCCATTCTTCTTCCCGTGCTAAGGGCCAGAAAAGGAAAGGGTCCCAAAAGAGCTCCAAGGGGGACAAGAAGAAGAAGGTCGGGTTATCAGATAGGGAGGGGGAGTCCATCGAAGAAGCCTTCCTATCCCTGGCCAAAAAACTCAGCAAGGTACTTCATCTTTGGTTTTCCTCCCGGTTAGAATATTTCCTTTGCTTTTATTGATACACCCCCCTTTTTTTTTGTAGGCCGGGGTCATTTCAGAAGAGATTGGCCAAAGTCTTTTGGAGCCAAAAGACCAGATCTCCCAACTCACCCTTCTCCTTGATTCTGCCAAGCTGGAGATTAATGACCGGGCAGGCAGAAAGGGAGAAGAGGCTGGAGGAAGAGTTGAGGGAAGAAAGGGCCAGGTTTGCCCTTTTGGAGGAGGAAGGGAAAAGAAAGGTGGCCGAGCTCGAGGATGCATTGGGCCAGGCTGAAGAGGCTGCCCGGTCAAAAGAGGAGGCATTCCCTACTGAAGCTGCTTGCTGGGCTGCGTGCCATCACTTGGAAGTTGCCCGGTCTATTCTCGCCACGCCGGAGGAAACCATGGACTTCTTCAAGACCATGTATAAAGAACCGGAAGGGAGGAGGATGATAACTGAGATCGGTTCCTATGGGTTCCAATGCGGCCAAAAGGAAGAGAGATCCCTTCTCTATGCCAGGCTCCAAAAGAGGGATCCATCCTTTGACCCAGCCAAGATGAAACTCCCGGCTCTATAAAAAGAAGAGCCAGCTCCCCCCTTTCCCCTAGAGTAGGTTAGGGTTTGGATTCAAAAACTTTAAATTTTCCCAAGGCCTGGGGGATGTCTGGCCTACTTTTGACTGGTATGAAACTTTAATTTTCTTGACATGCCTTTTACGTTTACCAGTCTGTTTACTTCAATATGCACGGTTGAACCTCTTTTCTTATATGGTTGTCCTGGTTGTTTTACTTGCTTGGTCCTTACTCGAAATTGCAATGCCAGGCTTGCCTTTACTTTATCATGCTGGGTTGAACTTCCAAGTCATTAATAATAACCGGTCTTATCCTTTGTAGTTGTCGAGGTCACCTCATGTCCTGGTCTTTGGTTAACGCCTTAAAAATGTCTAGGTCTGGTAGGCTTTGTTGTCAGCGTCCAGGTCTTTTCATGTTCTGGTCAATTCCATCTCTTGAAAATGTCCAGGTCATGTTATGTCCTGGTCAAGTACAAGCCTTGAAAACATCTAGGTCTTGCAACCCTGAAAACGTCCAGATCTTGTAGCCTTGAGAACGTTCAGATCACTTTATGCCTGACTAGTCTTCTGGACCGGCTTATGTCTAGGTTGAACTGCAACAAACGTCCAGGTCATCTCATGTCCTGGTGTAGTAGGCTAGGTTGGAAGTTTTGAAGACCACTTTAGACGCAAGGCTTGAAAACTTCCAGGTCATCTCATGTCCTGGTTTCTTGACTTGAAAACGTCTAGGTCGGTTTCTTCCTCGCCTGTTTTCTGACCCAATCAACTTCCAGGTTCTAATGGCTTGGTTGCAATATGTAACCAGCATGACGTCAAATTTCCTGTCCAGGTGCCGGGTCAAAAATATGACCGGTCAAAATTAAACTTTTCCAGATTGGTCTGATTTCTCCAAATCCAACCCTTAAAAAAGTGACCGGTCACTTTTCTCAAAATTTTACCGGTCAAATTATGCTTTTTCCCATTCGCCTTTTCTTTCCAATCAAGAACATCCAAGAAGTGACCGGTCACTTTTGACCATGCCACTTTCCTTTACCCCTTTGGCCTGGATGTCATGCCTATCAGTAACCTTGCTCAAATTTCGAACGAATAATCCGAATCGGTTTTGGTATCATCAAGTCTCAACATCAAGACCCGAACTTTCTTCGGAGATTTTGACCATGTCCTATGATCGCGAACCCTCTCCAAGGTTCAGCCCTCTTCCAGGCAACACCCTTCTTCCAGGGCCCCTCTTCCAGGTTTTAAGTTTTTTTAATGTGCCATTCTCTAATCATTAGGTTGACCTAGCCAACCCAATCTTCCCACGTGGGGGTATGTCGGTGAGAACCAGCCCTCATCCAATCTTACATGTCCATATGTTATGCGTTTGAAGTGAATTCTAGTCTTCCCTAGACCCTTCAATCCGCAAAGGATGGCTCATGCAAGACGGTAATCATTTTTTAGTTTGGCATTTTTTTGCCCCTATCCAAATGAAAATTTGGTAGGGATCCATGTAAGTATGGACGCGAGTCCTCTTCCAGACCCAGCCTATCTCAAGGCCATACCTCAACATCAAGGCCCCTATCTCAAGGGTTTATCTTTTTTTTTTAACCTTGCCTCTTACATCAAGACATTACTTTAGTATTAGTGACTCAGCAACACAAGTATTGAAGAAATCTCTTATTTATCATCGAAGGGGTATTACAAATACATGCCCTGCCAATTTTGTCTATCGGTAGAATTTTCTAAGGTGGTGGGAATTCCAGCACCTTTCCAACTCTCGACCTTCCATTGTTTCTAACTTGTATGTCCCAGGGCGTAATATTGCTGTGACCCTATATGGGCCTTCCCATTTCTTTGCAAGTTTTCCCCCTTCTCCGGGTTTGCTGGCCCCCCTTCGTCTCAGGACCTCGTCACCCACTTGGAAATAACGAGGCCCTACCTTGTTATCATGGTAGGCCTTGGCTGCTTGCTGGTATTCCATCATTTTAGCCTCAGCGACCATCCGCCTCTCTTCCAGCAAGTTTCGCTCTGCCAAATGGTCTTCCTCATTCCCTTTCTCTTTATAGACCTTCTCCCGAAAGGTCATTATTTTAGCTTCGATGGGTAGTCTGGCCTCACACCCATATGTAAGGACGAAGGGTGTCTCCCCTGTGGCCTTTCTTGAAGTGACCGGTAAGCCCAGATGATATGTGGCAACTCCTCTAACCAATTCGTTCCTGCGTCACCCAACCGCTTTTTGATCCCATCGACTATTGTGCGGTTCGCATTCTCCACCTGGCCATTCCCTTGCGGGTAGGCCACGGAAGCCTTGTTGTGAGTAATCCCGAAGTCCTCCAAGTATTTGGTGAACCCTAGATTCCGAAATTGAGGCCCGTTATCCGTCACGATGTTTCGGGGTGACCCGAACCGAGTGATGACGTTCTTCCAGACAAAGCGCTGGCACTGCTTGGTTGTGATGGTTGCATATGCCTCGGCCTCCACCCATTTTGTGAAGTAGTCGATAGCGACCATGACATACTTCTTTCTCCCTTGAGCTTGAGGGAAGGCCCCAATGATGTTCATCCCAAACCTTGCGAATGGAATAACATTAGAAACTGGGTGGTAGTATGTTGCAGGCCTTCCCGGAAACTTTTAGAATACCTGGAAAATCTTGCACCTCTGGACATATCTCTCGCAATCTTGGTTCATTGTAGGCCAGAAATAACCTAGCAAAATGATCCTTTGCGCGAGCGTCCTGGACATTTGGTGGGCGGTGCAGACACCCTCATGAACTTCGGCGATCACTCTTTCTGCCTCTGCCCTGGTCAAGCACCTTAGCAATGGACCACCGAATGCTCTTTTGTATAGCCTTCCCTCGAGCATTTGGAATCTTGGAGCCCTCAACTTTACTTTTCTCACCCTGTCCACATCTTCAGGGAATTGCCCGGTCATGTAATACCTAACCAGATCATCTATCCAAATGTCATCTGGCTCCACTCGATCTGGATTGGCCTGCCCGTCTTCTTCTATCACGCTAACAGAAAACCCCTCAATGCTGGCTTTCTCCAGCGTCTCAATCCTGGCCAGCTTGGACACATGCTCCGGGGCTGCTTGCGTCAACTTTGATAGTAAGTCAGCATCGGTGTTCTCCCCCCTAGGGATTTTCTCCATCACATACTCAGTCAGGTCCTTCAATAGTGCCCTTGCCAAGTCTCTGTACTTCTGCATTTTCTCTCCTTTGGCCTCCATGTTACCATTGATGTGGCCTACCACCAAGCTTGAATCGGACTTGATCCTGAGGCATGTGATTTGTAGGGTTTTGGCCAATCTCAGGCCCCCTATCAACGCCTCATACTCGGCCTCATTGTTTGTGAGCTTGAAATTAAAAATCAAGGCATGATATACTTTAAACCCTTCCAGAGTTGTGAATACTACGCCTCCCCCGTAACCTTTCGGTCCAGAGGCTCCATCTACCGACATGGACCACCAAGGTTCGGTGATGGCCCTTGCCGGTTCTTCTTCCTGGTGACCCGTCATCTCCACAAGAAAGTCAGCCACAGCCTGCCCTTTTATCGCCGTCCTCGGACGATATTCAATGTTGAATTGGGTAAGCATCATGGCCCATTTGATCATCCTTCCCGAAGAAGTGGAATCCCTCATGACCGTGCCCAATGGTAGATCGGTCAATACGACAATGGGATGGGCCTGGAAGTACGACGTGAGTTTCTTCGCTGTTATGAAAAGTGCATACCCTGCCTTCTCCGTAGGAATGTACCTACTTTCTGCCCCATTTAAGGCCTTGCTTACATAATAGATGGGCCTCTGGACCCCATCATCCCTCATCAAGACTGAGCTAACAGCCATTTGAGTAACCCCTAAGTAGAGGTAGAGGGTCTCCTTTGTTTCTGGCTTGGACAAGACAATATCCGAAGTCAGGTATGTCTTCAGCTCTTCGAATGCCCTCGCGCATTCATCATCCCACTCGAAGGTGTTGGCTTTCTTTAATACTTTAAAGAAAGGTAAGGCCTTCTCTGCCAACCTGGATAAGAACCAGTTTAAGGCCGCCAAGCGCCCCGTTAACCTTTAGACATCCCTTACCGATGTCGGGGGTTGCATCTCAACAATGGCCTTAATCTTCTCAGGATTTGGCTCAATTCCCCTCCTCGTGACCATGAAGCCTAGGAACTTCCCCGTCCTCACAGCAAAAACACACTTCTTTGGATTAAGCCTGAGATTATGCCTAGCCATAATCTCAAAACATTTTTCCAGGTCTTGAGCGTGTGTGCCAGCTGCCCTGCTCTTCACTAGCATATCATCGACATAGGCTTCCATGGTCCGTCCAAGCAAAGGCCTGAACAATTTGTTGACCATTCTCTGGTAAGTTGCCCCTGAGTTTTTCAACCCAAAGGCCATCACCTTGTAACAGTATGTGCCGTCCGGAGTGAGGAAGGCCGTCTTCTCCTCATCATCCTCCGCCATGAAGATTTGATGATACCCCTTAAAGGCATCCATGAAGCTAAGCAGCTCACACCCGGCGGTTTCATCAACCATTTGGTCCGGGCTAGGGAGGGGGTAAGAATCCATTGGACATGCCTTGTTAAGGTCTGTGTAGTCCACGCACATCCTCCAGGTATCACCCTTCGGGGCCAGGACAACATTGGCCAGCCATTCAGGGTAGTTTACTTCCCTGATATGACCTACCTCAAGTAGGTCCTTGACCTCTGTCTTCACAAAGTCCCTCCTATCACTTGCCAAGAATCTCTTCTTCTGTCTTACAGGCCTAGACCCCTCAAGAACAGAGAGACGATGGCAAATGACTGACCGGTCAATCCCGGGCATGTCAGCAACACTCCAGGCAAATAATGATTTATACCTGGTCAACACCTGGACAATCTCAGTCCTTAACTCTTCTTGAAGATCAGCCCCAATTTTGACCTTCCTCTCAGGATTGGAGGTATCAATCTGGATCACCTCCGTGTTTGCATCCGGCTCAATCCTAGCCTTCTCCTCACCCTTGTCTACCTGTTGGGAGACCAGTTCAATTTGTTCGAACTGGCGGGTCATCTTCTTGACTGCTTCCAGGTAGCAGGACCGGGCGTTCTTTTGATCACCCCTTTCCTCCCCGATTCCATTGGGAGTGTAAAACTTCATGCATAAATGTGCCATGGAAATAATAGCCCTGACCTGGTTGATTCCAGGCCTACCCAGAATCGCATTATGCACACATTTGATGTCGACCACAACAAATCTCATTTGTTTGGTCACTGTCTTGTTTCCTGACCCCAAGGTAACCGGTAAGGTTATCTGACCTTCCGCTTCTATGCTAGCACCAGTGAAGCCTGACAATGGAGTTTGCAATGGCCTCAACATGGACCTGTCAAGCTTCAATTTTTTGAAAGCATCTAAGTATAAAACATTGACACTGCTTCCTGTGTCAACTAGTACTCTGGCCACATCAGCCCCGTTGATGTCCATTGTAATGACCAAAGGGTCATTGTGGTCTCTCCCCGTCCTGGGCAGATCCCTATCAGTGAAAGTGATAGGTTCCCTTCTTGCCTGCTTTCCTTGTGATTCCAAGGAAACCACCGCTACGTGTAAGCTCCTGGCCCAATTCTTCCGCTGGGAGGCAGTGTCCCCGCCTTCCGGGCCACCGACAATCATCTCAATGAATTCTTTATCCGGATTGTTGTTATCCTTCCCGGATTTTCTCCTTCCCTGGTCTTTTCCCTGAGGACGGGTCCAGGTGTTTGCTTTCAGATCCTTCTTATTCCCCGTCGCGTAACCTTCCCCAAGCTCTCCCTTCAAGGCCATCTCTTTGAGCACAGCCTTGACATTCCGACAATCCGCCGTATTGTGGGAGTCGGATTGGTGGTAGGTACACCACTTCTCCGTCCAAGGCCTCTTGGGTTGTTCTCCCTTCTTATCATCCCTTATTTGATGGACAGACCCGTCATACGTAGCCTTTAGTTTGGACCCTCCCATCTGGTCGTCCTTCTTCAGCTTGTCGGATTTCACCTTCGTATATCCTTCCTCCAATTCCCGCTTGCTCTTATTCAAGACCTCCGCGTCGGCATACTCCCATGCCGTATTGTAGGCTTCTTGGTAAGAGGAGGGTGGCCTCCTACAGAATTCGGTGTAGAGGTCACCCGACCGGAAGGCATTCATCAGCAAAGACATGGCCGTCTTGTCGTCCATCTCTTCTACCTTGTCGACCTCGTCCCTCCAGCGGGTCAAGAATTGAGTCAAGGACTCCTTCTCCTTCTGCCCTACCGTGTTAAGGTAGGTGAACTTCTTCCTCTTGATGCAATTGTCCTGGTACTTCTTGCGGAAAACTTCGGCAAGTTTCTCAAAGGACCCAATCCTGCCATGGGGAAGGCCGTTAAACCATTCCACTGGCCTCCCTCTCAAGGATGAGAAGAAGAGTAGGCATTCCTCAGCATCAGTGCATCCGGCCATTTGTGCTGCATTGTGGAAGGTGTCAAGGTGGACGTTTGGATCCTCCTTTCCTGTGAATTTCTCCACGTCCAGCTTAATCTTCTGTCTCAACCTCTGCGCATGTACCCTGGCCGAAAAGGGAGATTTAGCCAAGGTGTGCTTTTTCGCTCCCGCCTTCTCTTCCACCTTTTCCTCCAGGGCACGTAGTTTCCTTGCTACGCTCCCTATCTTTTCTAGGTCATCCTCATCGTATGAGAGCCTGGTATATGCCGACGCCCTGGGCTGGCTTTCTGCTTCCTCCTCGTCTTGGTGAATCATCTCAGATTCCCTAGAACGACGAGATTGGGCGTGACGACTCCCGCCAAGTCTTTCCATTGCGCTAGTCCGGCCCATCTCAGGACCAAGACGTAGCTTGGCAGACTTGCGGGGTCCATCCTCTTTGTCCCCTAGGCGTTTGAACGCCGAATCTCGAGTCTAGCTGGGTTTGGCTATAGCCTTACCCTTCCTCCTGCGGGCCGCCTCCTGCTCCGCCTCATCGATTTCATGGACATTTGAGGGTGCTGCTTCATTCATAGTCCCCGTCAAATTCACTGGACGTATAGGGACCATTCTAGGGACAAATGTCGACGGGGTCGACACCGGAGGTGGCATGATTGGTGGCATCATGCCGGGATAGGCAAATGGCATGAAGCCCCCTGCCTGTTGCATCATGGCCATCACCTGTTGATAGCCCTATAGAGCCTGAGCATTTGCCGGGTCAGCAGCAAACTGAGCCCAAGCTGACGGGTATGGTGTGAATGCTCCACCAGGCGTTGTTATCGAGCGTGGGAACATTGTTGTCGTCGGCGTAGGAGTAGGGGTTGACATGATTGGGATCATGCCAATCGATCCTACAATGGTGATCGGAGCAAAGGTCGTCCCCATCCTCGACATCATCAATGGGATGGCAGGAGTGCTTTCACTCGCCGCCTGACTTGACACAGCGTTGTAGTTGCTCGAAGACATGATTGTGGATATTTAGTGGGGGTAAAGTTTTGACCTGGTCGAAAAAACTTTAAAAATCGGTCCCACGGATGGTGCCAAAAATGATGGTGTAAATATAGCTGGGTGGCTTAACCGGGTTTGACCTAGACACACTCGACCCGTAATATAAAACACACAACAAGAACACAAAGTATGACCTAGACCGGGTAAATCTCCTCAGTCCGAATTATATTTCTTACTCTATCTCAAGAGTGAACTTTAGTGAGAGAAAAATTGGATCCCCCTCCTCTATCAAATATCATCATATTTATAGAGGAAGATTTGTGACCCTCCCCTGTTCATCCATGGACAAAATAGGAAGCTCGTGGGAAGGTCACTGTAGATAATGGAAGCACTGTACAATCATAGAATTTAGCAACTATAAGCCAAGACATGTACTGTTCAATCAAAGACTATAGATGGATATTCTCAATCCAATCAGCCCTGCAAAGTGACAAACATCCCTTTCACTGTTTGTCTTGTGATGGACGAATGGCGGGGTGGTCCCTCGATCTTTGACGTGGTTCACCATGCCTGAGATACTGGACCAATGTTTGTCAAGTAAGATGATATGACCGGTCACCTTTTTCTCAAAGGTTGACCGGTCATTTCTTGAGCTCAACCCGTCTCTTTGGTCTTCTTGAATTCTTCACAACATTAGGCGACATTTTGGCTATCGCCCAAAATGTGACAGGTCAAATTTTGACCCGTCCCAATCGAAGAGTTAACCTCATTTGGTGATTGGTAAAAGTGACCGGTCATAATTTGACCTGTCCCTTTCGGTTGCCCGGGTCGGGTATAGGGATATACCCATCACTATTAAATTTAATTTTATCTATTTTCAACCAAATATACTCAATCATTTATAAATTCTGCACTCAATTGAATAAAATTCACTTAGTTTTACCCAATTTTACTCAATTTTTACCAAATTGTATTCAAATGGAACATAACACTATTTGAATTTATCTTTTATATTTTCATTTATAAACATATGTATATTAGTAGATGTGGGAAAAATTTGATATATCAAAACTAAATTTTAAAATGAATTTAATTATATTAAATTTATATCATAATTAAATATATATGTTTTCATAATTTGTAGTCCAAATTTGTAAAATATGACTAGTAAGTCAAAAAGGGAAGATTATTTAGGGTAGAGATAATATAATTACAAAAATATATAAAATAATATGGGGTATTGAATTGATGATAGATTAATAAATGTGATAAAACATAAAAAGAAACATGGCTAGTTAAATTTTAATTAGAAAAAAATATTTATCCAAAATATATTTGATCCGAAACTGAAATATATCCGAACCGAACTAGACCCGAAACGGAAATATATCTGATTCAAATTGTTTCCAAATCGAAATCTATCCGAACCGTATCTGAACCGACTCAAACCCGAACCGAACCGAAAAATGCATAGAACCGAATCAAATTCAAACTGAAATTTAATAGATCTGATCCGAATCAAACCGATTATAACATATATTCAAAAGATATCCAAACTGAAAAAATCCAAGCCGAAATCGATCTGGTTGACCCGATTGCCACCTCTAGGCACTCCGAAGTAGTAAATAGTACTAAAATATATATCATTTCTCGATGTAGTATATAAACTTTTTTATTCCATAAATAGTTCTTGAATAATGTCTAGTGGCGAGAACAATATCTAGTAATGGTGGACATTTAGTTTTAACAATGTCCAGTGACGATGGTGGACGACATTAATATGAACAATGACTAGTAGATATTGAACAGTGATACTACATTGAGAAATAAAAGCATATGGTACTACATTAAGAAAGTTATTATATTTTAGTATTATTTAGGTAAATTCCCCCTGTCATATCTCATTTTTACCGCAAATTTCACTACTTGAGCTCAAGTCCCTTCTCACATAGATCTGTCAAATACTCACTCCATCAAAAAATTATCTTCTCATTCACTATTCACAAGGTCGAACTTTATTCACTTTCTTGGCCTATTTTCGTTATCCATTTGATAAAATAACATAGTCATCTCAACTCTAGTTTTGAAGATCTTTTGATGTAATTTTTTAATATGTAATTTTTATTTTTTAATTTCATACCATTTTTCATATAAAATGATTTAAAAATAACTTTAGTCAAACATCGTAATGCGCAATAGGAAGATAATTTTTGGACGGAGGGAGTACAAAATAAGAATAATTTGACTTTTATACTTTAAAAATGACTTTTATACTGATAGTTTGGTGTAAATTTTAAATTTTAATTCATTGTTGTTATGTACAAATGTCTTTTGATGTTCTCCATGTCTAAGTTAGACTTTTGATTTTCCCCTTTGTAAGCCTATATATAGAGGCTCCATATGTAGAAATGAAACATCCATATTTTTAGTCTCTCATTGCATTCTTTATCTTTCACTCTCCATTGCACTTTGATCTTCCATTTGTGTTCTTATCAAGGTATATCCCTATCATCTTGTTCTTGATAATATTTCTATTATCTTTATTCTTAATACGTTATCAGCACGATACTCTAAAAATTTACTCTTCATATCTTGTCCTTGTTCATATTCATGTTATATATATATATATATATATATATATATATATATATATATATATATATATATATATATATATATATATATATATATATATATATGTATGTATGTATGTATATAGGTATGTATGTATGTATGTATGTATGTATGTATGTATGTATGTATGTATGTATGTATGTATGTATGTATGTATATATATTTAAAGAGACGGGTTTTTATTCATGCAAAAGAGTCTAAGTACAAGGGGAAAGAACTACCCAAAAGTGGTAGAAGAGAAGGAAAAAGGAAAAAGCAACGTATGGGACACAGCCCAAATGCGGAGGAGACGTAGCCCCTAACAAGAAAGCAAAGTGAAATAGCCTTAGTTGCGACGTCGGCCTCGCCTGCCTCGTCCTCGGCCTCGTTGGGAGTATTGACCCCTACATTGGAGTTGTCCACTTCTTGTTTGAATCGTTAGTTCTGGAGGAGAGTTTTGTTTTTTGCTTTTGACCAGGGTGAAGTCCTCTTCATACTGATATTCTTCACAATCAAATTCTGGTTCTGTTTGGTTCCCTGTCTCCTCATTATCCTGGCTTGCGTCAAATGTGTCATTTGCAGCAAACTCTTGGGGTTCTTCATCTTTAGAACCTGCTGAAGTTGCATCTTAAGTGACTTCCAAAGGTTTTGCCATTGATTCAAAGTCATCCTGTTCCTTGACCTCGATGATGAATAATTGACCATCAACCTCGATGATAGTTTCCTTGTAGGTATGTCTGGTTGCTGTTTTCGCCTCAATCGCAGTCACAGGGTCAGGTGATATTTTAGCTGCCTTATTCGGAGTAGAACACCCATTCTGGATTTCAATTGCATCAGCTACCATAGTAACTGCATCTTTGATCTCAACGACTTCATGTTGAGTCCCAACTTTAGTCTCTTCCACCTCTAACTGGGTAGTAGGCTGTATTGAACTTGATCCCTCATGACTTGGAGTCTTTTCAATGGTGGCAAATCGGTTCTTGGAGCTTTGTACAGATGTGTCATGGCCTCTAGTTGTTGGTGTGGTGCCTCCTGCCGCTGACCCACACCCTGCCATATCCTCTTTGGCTATTTCCTTTTGTTCAAGGGGTGTCACCAGTACATCTTCATCAGCTTTAGAATTTTGGACAGTAATTTTTGTGTCCTTCACAATGGGACATCTTATGTCCCCGCTTGGTTTCGGATCCTTGTTATTGGCTTTGGTTGAGGTTGCAGCATCTTTCTTAGGAAAAACATCATCTGCAGTGTTGCATTTTCCGGCAGTGTGCCCTGATTTTTGGCAATCCCTACAATACTTTGGGATGTCCTCGTAGCTCACTGGTTGGAAGAAACCATGGCCTCCATTATCAATCCATATCTTCTTCGGTAGTTCTTGTGTAATATCCATTTCAACACAAAAACGAGCCACAGACGGTCTGATTTTTGCAGAAGTAGAGGAGTCCATCATAATCGGGTTACCCAGGCATTTTGCAATACTGTAAAGAGCCCTAGCCTCTTGAAGATGGACAGGAAGATGAGGTAGAGAAGTCCATATCGGAAAGATGGGACTCTCAATGTCCACGTGAAAATCAGGGCTCCATTTGGACACAATCATGGATGACCCATTGATTTTCCAAACCCGTTTAGAGAAACAACGTTGATAATCAACTCGGCATTTGAAATTCAAAAACAAAATTGATTGAGAAAGCAAACCAATTTTAAGATTCACTTTGAAACCAATTCTTTCCAAGCAGGAGCGGATGATATGGAGAGGGGGTCTAGATTTGTTGAAACGACCAACCAAGGCATATTCATAAGGGGCAGAGAGTGATTTTACCTCATTCGGGGCGAAGGAAATCGCTGGAAATCCTTTGAATTTTTCGATCTGCTTGGATGGAAACCTTTCCGGTTGATTCGCAGATCCCAAAACTTCGAGGAAGCTTTTCTTGATATCTTCTCCAAGGTGAGACGCCATAGATGCCTGCGTTCTTGATAAGTTCTCCAAAGTGGTGGCCATCAAATTGTTTGTCGGAGACGCTGGCGTTCAACGCCATTGTCACCGAAGTTGAAGAGAGAGGAAATTGTCCATCATATATATATATATATATATATATATATATATATCATATATATATATATATATAGACACACACACACACACATATACATATACACTAATTTACTTTAGTTTTCAAGTGTAGATATATTGAATCTAAAACTCCTAAATATATTAGAAAATATTTGGCATGTGAAGCCTACATTATGTGTTAAAGTTGAAGATTATATGATAAAACTCAACCTGAAGTTTGAGTACATATTATGTCAGAAAATTTCATTTCTTTAGTTTTTTCCTCTTTTGGCTAGTGAACTTGAAGTTCATATTCTGATTTCATATGCTCGAAGCATTAACACTGAAACTCAAACCTGAAGATTTGAGTATGCCACATGAATATATAGGTGACATTATTATTTACTTTGCAACAAAGAAATAATAATAATAATGTTAATATTATAGATTTATTATTTGTGACTATGTAATGTGCTCTAATTTCTCATTATGTCCATAGTTTTGCTCTAAGTGTAACCTCCGCTATAATAATAATAATAATAATAATAATAATAATAATAATAATAATAATAATAATAATAATAATAATAATAATAATAATAATGCATAATAAATAATAATAATAATTGAGACCCTTCAAGTACCTAATCCATTTTTTAATAAAAAAACCCTATTATTCAATCAATACACATTAATTTATTTATCTTTCACAATAATAAAAAAAAGTCAACATGTTCATCAAAACACAATATATGGGTATATGAGATACTACCTAAGGTCTTATAATATTCAATTACCACCTGAAGTGGCTGATTTTTAGTATAAAAAATCTCATTAAAAAGAGACGTTTTGGTATTTCAAGACCTTTGTTCTAATCTATATATGATTCCTCATCGATGTTCCTGAAAAGGATGTAGTTAATATATTATAATCAAAGGAGTGATTATACATATTATATTTTTTTTAGATGTAAGAGCTTCTTTTCTTTTGTGATAAAAGAAGTTAGTTTGGATATAATTTTCTTTTTATACAAAACTGATAGATAGCTTCAGAAGAGCATTGCATAATAAGAGCTGCATAATAGAAGTAATAAAGTTCTCATAAATATTGAATATTTTGAGAGAATAGTTATTGTCCTTCATTGATGAATATTCTATTGGGTATAAACAATTAAATCCTTATTGTTTAAGGAGTCTCTATTAATGTTTAAGATACCAGTGGAAATGAATATTACATGACACTTGATCGAGATTTGTTTTCACGTAAACCAGAAGTTTACTGAATCAATTTTTATTCTAAACATAACCAATTAAATTATCACGTTTTAGTTTGTGGTGTGAAGAAAAAAATCATTAAGAACTCAAGTGAGCACTATTTGAAGAACAAGTTTCTGTTATTATAAGGACCAGAAGATCCTATAGTCTTGTTCTCATTAGAAGATTATTATGAGATTATTACTAATGAAACTTGAGATTCATTTCATACATATTAAGAAATTGATCAAGGATAATTGATTGGGCCCATCAACTATTCGTGATCACAATTTAAATGTTATATATGAAGCATCTTTATATTTGTTGACAATTAACTCGTAACCCGAAGTTTATGATATTTGTCCTATGGACATAATTTTTAGGTTATGTTGAACACCATTAATCACATAAGAGCTTGTAGCTCTAGTTAATATGCAAAATGCATTGGATTGGTGGCTATACTTTTGATTATGAGAACAAAGCATTTTATACTAGTTTTTTAATCTTCATTTATGTGGTAATTATTTGGAGCAGATGCTTAGTGGGCATAAATTAAAAGAAATTATCAAGGTACCACAATGGTGGGTAGACACTGAGGGGAGGTTTTTAAAGGACTTGAATGGAAGATAAATTTCATGACATATGCTAGATTATATATATTCTTCAATTAAAGAAGATGTGAACCTAAAGTTCAAGAAAGAAGATTGTACTACGATATTGCAAATAAAGTGCTCATTATGAATTTTATGTGTCAATTGTAAACACTTTGGTTAGAAGTGAATTCTAGATATTTTCTCAACCATAAAAAAGTGGTCTTATTATAAGGAACCCGTAGTTCCAAGATATAATTAAGAACCTGAAGTTCTCCTTCGCATGTATTTTATATACATATGTTCATTTTTATTAATCCTTCCCTATAAATAAAATGTCAAATCTTCAAATTTTTGAGTTTCTTACACTTGATATCTCCTGAGGAGAAACAAGTTTGTCCCTTCTCACAATATTTGATTGTTTGATTGTGTGCCTTATATGCATTCTCCCCCAGAATGCATTCAATATAATGTAGAAGACTGTGTATTGACATTGGCTATAACTCCTCGTCTATTGTTAAATGTTTAGAGTTTTTGAAAGGAGAATTATTAACATCAAAGTAAGTTGGTTTGTCAATTTTTTGATGAAATATTCCCAGTCTTAGGGGAGACAAGAATAATGAAAGACTGGTAATACAAGAAATTATATGAAATGCATCATTGTAAATTTTCGACTCCTGAAGTGGTCAATGTAATTTTGAAGTCTGATTTGCAATGAAGAGCAAATGGATTACTCGATGCATTCACATATATGAGCTGGGTGACAAAGTTACATATACCAGCATCTTATGCATCGCTCAATTTAAGGTAGTCCCAGAAGTGACTATTGAACATTTTATGTGGGAGAATAATTGGTTTCAAAGATAAGAACCCACGAAAATGAAGATAGTAAAAATGCTATTAGTGAAACCATATACATGTTTATGAGTGAAACCCCAGAAAAGGTAATTGTCCCAGAAGAAGACTAATACTATTCCGGAAGAAAATGAAACCCAGAAGAGGTAAATGTCCTGGAAGAGACTAATATGATTCCAGAAGAATAAGTTTCCTAAAGAAACATCGGTACCGAAAGAAAATGAGATCTCTATTGATTATGTACGAGACTGTACAATATAGAACCAAAATGAAACACGTGTTAATGATATTATTGCATATGCTATGGCAATGGATGTAATCAATAAAAGAGATTACATGCCTAAAACTCAAAGAAGAGCACATGTAGATAGTACATAAATGATTTGCCAAAATGGAAAAAGACCCTGAAGGTCGAGTATAAGTCACTCGATAAACAGAATACTTTCGGACCTAAAATCTGAACACTCATAAACGTCAAACCAATAGGTTTAAAATGAGTGTCTGTAATAAACAGAAATAAAATGAATGAGATAATGCGATATGAGGAAACGTAATTATAAGGGACACTTGAAATCGACATCTGTGTGATAGTAATCTATGAAGGATTCAAAATGCCAAAAACAATAAAATTAATACATCGAGATATGTGTGAAGAGATCGTGGAATGGTCTTAAGTAATCTGGTCATATGTGGTACAATTGACCCAGTGAATATCTCAAAAAAGAAAGATACAAATTTGAAATCAACCTATGTGTTGTCATTCAAGGATCACTCTCAATATTCTTTATTATAGCAGTTTACGTCAACGTATAAATATCATTAGATCTCCTGAAGAGATGGAGAAAACAAAAAAAATTGTTGAACTCTTGAAGAGAGAATTTGAGATGGAAGATCTTGACATGACATAAATTATACTTTAGATTGTATTTTAAACACCTATATGATGGCACATTTGTCCATAAGTTAAACTACATCCAGAAGATGTTAACACATTGAAATATGGATAAAGCTCATCCTTTGAACATAACCATGGTTGTTCATTCGTATATATATTCATAACATTCTAATCGCCTCCCAGAAGAGGGCGAAGAAGTACTTGGTCCTGCAATACCAAATTTTAAGGGTGAAATTAGATTGGTAATGTGTTCACATATGGTGATAAGACTTTTCCTTGGAAGTCGACTGAGCGAGCACGACCAGATAACTGAGGCAGCATAACTGATCCTGCAGTATCAGTTAATATAGGTCTTGAAGAACCTAGCCAACATTATCCTGTAGCATAATGTTGTTAGTGTTTAATGAACGATGATATATCTGAGGGGGAGTGTTAAATATGGCAGATATATTACTCTTATTATTTTCAAAATTCCTGAAGCATGCAATCAGAAAGCTCGTGAGTTATTCTCAATCAAGTTACAGAGATCATTATACGGATTGAAACAATCTGGTAGAATATGGTATAACCGTCTTAGTGAATATCTTGTTAGAGAAGGTTACATAAATGATCCAATTTGTCCATGTGTTTTCATCAAGAAATCTGAAGTTGGATTTGCTATCATAGCAATATATGTAGATGACCTAAACCTTGTTGGAACACCAGAAGAGTTAATAAAGACTGCAAACTATTTAATGAAAGAGTTTGAAATGAAAGATCTTGGGAAAACCAAGTTTTGTCTCGGCCTGCAGATCGAGCATGTATCAAATAGGATTTTTACCCATCAATCAACATATACGGAAAAGGTCCTAAAACGATTTTACATGGATAAGGCACACCCATTGAGCAGTCCCATGGTTGTTCGATCATTAGATGTAAAGAAAGACCCTTTTCGCCCTCGAGAAGATAATGAAGAACTTTTAGGTCCGGAGGTACCTTATTTAAGTGCTATAGGGGCGCTAATGTATCTTGCAAATTGTACAAGACCTGATATAGCCTTTTCGGTTAATTTGTTGGCAAGATATAGCTCAGCACCAACACGAAGACATTGGAATGGTGTTAAACATATATTACGTTATCTTCGTGGAACAACCAATATGGGCCTATTTTATTCGAAAGGTTCAGAATCACTAGTTGTTGGTTACGCTGATGCTGGCTATCTTTCTGACCCACATAAGGGTAAATCGCAAAGTGGATATGTTTTTACTTGTGGTGGTGCGGCAATATCATGGAGATCAGTAAAGAAAACACTAGTTGCAACCTCGTCAAATCACTCGGAGATAATGGCGCTATATGAAGCAAGTGGAGAATGCATATGGTTAAGGTCAATGGTTCATCACATTCAAGAAACTTCTGGATTATCTTTTAATAAGGCTCCATCATTACTCTATGAAGATAATGATGCTTGTATTGCGCAAATTAAAAGTGGCTACATCAAAAGCGACAAGACGAAGCACATATCACCAAAATTCTTCTATCCGCACAAGCTTCAGAAAAGTGGAGACATTGAGGTTCGTCAGATACAATCATGCAATAACCTAGCGGATTTGTTCACAAAGGCATTGCCAACTACGACATTTAGAAAGATGATCAATGGTATTGGAATGCGTCAACTCAAGGATCTTTTGCCATGTTCAGGGGGAGCATTATAAGCACTGTACTCTTTTTCCTTCGTCTAAGTTTTTGTCTCATTGGGTTTTTCTTGGCAAGTTTTAATGAGGCAGTGTCATAAGCTCAAGTCTACCTAAATGGTGAACATCCAAAATCCAAGGGGGAGTGTTATGTATAAATGTCTTTTGATGTTCTCCATGTCTAAGTTAGACTTTTGATTTTCCCTTTTGTAAGCCTATATATAGAGGCTCCATATGTAGAAATGGAACATCCATATTTTTAGTCTCTCATTGCATTCTTTCTCTTTCACTCTCCATTGCACTTTGATCTTCCATTTGTGTTCTTATCAAGGTATATCCCTATCATCTTGTTCTTGATAATATTTCTATTATCTTTATTCTTAATAATTGTATATTTTTATGTATAGTAGTAAAACATTTGACACATAGAACAAAATGAACAATTAAAAAGAAATAGAGAGAGTATTGCGTAATTGAGTAATTGCCCGTGATTAAATGAAATCTGGATAATCATCATTAATGATGTGTTTGGCTGGAAAATATTTTCTAAAGGAAATTATTTTCTCTCTACATTTTCCGTTATTCGGTAAAAAAATAACTTTGCTTCCAAGAAGATATTTTTCTTATTTCTTAGGATCTAAATTAAATACCAATGCTTAAGGTTTGATCTTTGAGAGAATGAATATAGGGTAATTTACCTAAATAGGACTAAAACATAATGACTTTCTCAATATAGAACCATATGTTTTTATTTCCCAATGTAGGACCATCGATCATTATATATAAGTCATTATTCAACTGAATGTCCAGCATCACTTAGACATTATTCTTCTCACTAGTTATTATTAAGTCTTATTTAGGGAATAAAAAAGTTTAAGTCCTACATTGGGAAATGATTTATATTTTAGTCCTATTCAGTGCAAATTTCACATGAATATATTCAGGGGCGCGCATGAGTGTGGTGGGTGGAGGTGGGCAAGGGTGGGCGATGGATGGGTGGCGGGAGAGGCGGATCTACATGTATGAATACGGGTGCAGTCGTCCCCAGTCAATTTATTTTTACTCTGTAATATACAGTATTAAAATAATTTTTTTGTTGAGAATTAAAAGAACGACCCCGATAAAAAATTAGTTTGCCCCCACTGACAAGAAAATCTTAGTTTAAAAGTAAAAAATAATCATTTAAAAATATTTACAGGTAAAGTATTTGAAATATCATAATTATATTGTGTAATGATATGTTTTATATTTTATTTTTCCACTTTAAAAATATATCTTTTAATTTGAATACTTATTTGAAATTTAATTTATTTATTTTTATCATTATCAAACGCTTTAAAAAAATCAAGAGTGCCACTCTTGAACCCCACCATACTCTTTAGTGTGTACTTGCCCCCAATCATATTTTTTCCTAGATCCACCACTGGGTGGCGGATGGGAGTGGGCTGGGGTGGATGGCAATAGCATGGGTGGGTGGTTGATGGGGTGGGCTGGGTGGGTCGGGGTGACTGGGGGAGGGTGGATGGCAGTGTGTGGTGAGTAATGGATGGGGGTGGGTGGTGGGGATGATTGTGTGTGGGCGGGGTGATGGGAGACATGGCGAGGTGACTAGGTGAGGGTGGATGGGGCGGGTGGTGCTGCGGCGGGGTGGGAACTAAAGCGAAGAGTGAATAGAAATTTTCCTTCAAAATCAAACTGAAAATATTTTTTCCTTATTGAGAGAAAATATTTTTCAAACGAAAAATATTTTCGTACTCTATCATTTAAGGTACTAAGCAGAGGAAATTAGAATGAGAATTTTTTGTGTGAATAGTTTCCCACACCCAAGCACTACCTAGTTTTTAAAAAGTAAAATCAGAGCTCGATTTATAAGAATGCACACCTAAAAAGAGATTTCAACAACCTAGTCGAGTCCCACGAAAGTAGGGTCTTGACTCTGGGTTAAGTGTGTTTACGTAAATCTTATCCCAACTCAAAAGCAGAGAAACTATTTCCAAATAAACCCACAGCTCAAGCTGCATAGATAAAAAAGATTGCCAATGGTACATAAAGCAGAGAAAAGAAAGCAAAATCACATAACACATAATTCAAAGATCAAATTAAGGAAAACAAAGCACACAAGAAGTTCTAAGTTCTTAGTCTTGTCTAATCCTCTCCTTCCAAATCTTACTAGGTCTCTCGCATCATGCAGCCTCATATGCTCAAATCATCCAACCTAGCTTCTCGTGGCTTATCTTCCACATGTGACATGCATACCCGTCCTCGGATAACCTTGTTCAGAATCCTATCCAATCTCACATGCCCACACATCCAACGTAACACCCGCATCTCTACAACATGAAATCAAGGACGTGGGTTTTCTGAACCACCTAGCATTCCGCGCCATACAATAGGTCTGACTTCAGATCGATAGATCTCACCTTTCATCCTGGGCGAAATCTTCTTATCACACAGAACCCCTGAAACCAACATCGACTTATCCCAGACTACTCCAACAAGATGTGCAACATCTCCGTTTAACCTCGACCAAGCTAAGATACCAAAACTTGTCTAATTTGGACAATGGGTGTTGATTCCGTCTCCCAAAAAAGAGATTTCATTATTCTCAAAAAACATTAGGAGCATCCACAATGATACTGTATTTGATTACAGGGTGAAATGAAGGGTTTGGTAGTAGGAAAAACAAGTGAAGAAATTGCTTTCGAGCTAAGTTTCAATCCACGTGCATTTTGTTGCTTCAATCACCAAACAATGAATTGTTAATCAAATAAATTGTAGATAGAGTAACCTATTTTATCTACCATATATCAAACAAAATGGCAGGCAACACATAGGTACTCTCTTTCCCAACATTATCACCAGGTTGAAATGGATTCAAACAAGAAAAATGACAAGAATAAGGCGTTGCCACATGTTTTTTTGTTACAAACCTGTTTACAGAGTATTCGGATCTAAAAGTCAGACATGATAAAAACTAAGAGCAGATAACAAAAGCAGCATACCTTACACCCCACGCAGAAGAAGAAAAAATATGAAAACGAACAAACTAAAACACCTTATATGTGATTAAATTTGTCTTTTTTTAACTTAAATACACCCACACAAAGCCTAATTAGTCACCGGAGTTTCTTCGATTAAAGATTTCAGCGTAATGTTTCTATGCTCTTGCTCAGCTCCTCCAACTTCTTCATCCTCAACTTCTCACTTTCATCCACAAGCTGCATCCATGGCCAAAATGCACAAAACATTTATCGGACAGTTGTTTTGTAAAATGTATAATAATTGGAAGCATCTTGAGAGATTGGTAAAAAAGTTGAAGGAAGCAATGAAAACCTACTTTACCCACCTCCATCAGCCTTGAAATTAACTGCACTTTCTCCTTGTGCTTATCATTGAATGCCTCAAGGGCCTCTTTATACTCTCTCTCCTGTGATTCAAGAAAGTTGACATTTCAAACCCAATTGGTTTCACAAAACATGGACTAAGAAAGCTATACAAGGCAAGTTCTTTTGTAGGGAGTAAAAGCATTAAAGAAAAATGACCCAAGTTGGTGAATGCAAATGGATTGCATAACACAATCATGAATTCGTAGAACCCAAGTGGTCAAAAAAGTACATCGAAACCGTCCATTAATTTCTCCTTTCATAAATGTTTTTCTTCTCACTTGAATGCTTTTTCTTGGCCAAGAATAAAAAAGTCAAATGTGTATATGTCCAATAGAATGCAAGTTCTTTTGTCAAGAGTAAAGGCATTAGAGAAAAATGCAAGCAAGGTGGTGAATGCAAAAGGAGAATCATGAATTCATAGAACCCAAGTGGTCAAAAAATACAGAAAAACCATCTATTGCTTTCCCTTCATTAATCTTCTTCATCGCACTCGAAAGCATTTTCTTTCTTACCCAAGAATGAAAAGAAAAGATCATTTGTGGTTTGTCCAAAAGAATGCATAATGTGGGAACACAAATTCAAGAAACAATGATTTCACCTTCTTTTGACACGCATGTCCCAATGGTTTTAACTCCTTGTTGATTGCATCAATCTTCTTGCGAACAACGGACACCTCCTTCTTTGTTGGATCTGCTAGTGCTTCTAGTTCCTAACAATTTAAGCAACAATGATTCAGTTCACTTGCAGCAAGCACTGTTGTTTCACAAATATATTTGACAACTTTTACATCTTTTCTACTTTAATTAACAATACCCCATATTATTCAAATCTAGACAAAAGTCTAGAAGATCAAATTAAGGCAGTTAATCTAAATCTGAGCATAGAAGAAGACTAACCCCCCATCCCCAACCCAAGAGGGGATGAAAGAACTTAATGTACAGTCCAAGAGTTTGAGCAGAAATTCAAGATCTAGACGATATAAGGTCAAAATTTCACGTGGAGTAAAATTGTTTGCACTATTTAGGTTACCCGTTTCATGACAGTGGAGAAAAAATGGGCATTTTGCCATCACAATTTGATATGGAAAAAAACCATAAAAAATCAGTAAGAAATAAAAATACTGGGTCAAAGAAAAAAATCGAAGCATGTAATTCAGATTTAGGTATGATAATAAATCAAGATTAGTACGATTGGGTGAGATGAAATTATTGGAGAGGGGAAATGAAATAAAAATAAAAAAGACAAAAACAAAATAGCCCAAATAAGACCAAATGTCTATTTTAGGGTGGAGAGTGAAAATAATGGGGCAGGGGAAAATTGAGATCTTTGAAAAAACCTCACGAATGGAGGCGAGGCGCCTGGTTTCTTCTTCGATACGGCCGAGCTGAGCCTGGACTTTCTCCTTGACTTCGAGTTTCCTCTTCTCGATCTCCTCCTCTTTAGCCTTGAAGGTGGAAAGGGCAGACCGGGACATCTCCTCGTCTTCCTTGGTCAAAGTGCCATTGAAGCTCAGGCTCCCGGAGATTTGGCCGGCCTGCATCAGAGTCTGAAGCTGAGTCTGCGATTCTCCTCCGCCTCCCTGCCTCTGATTCGGCTGCATCTTCTCTTCTCCTTCTTCTTCAACTCCTCTGAACCAGAAACACTGAAGACAGAACGAAACCCTTGTTTTCCCCTCAATTTTTCTCTGCTTTTTATTATGCGGCTTCTTCTTTGGGTTTGCTTTTTTTTATCTTCTTATTATGAAGTAAACCCTTTCTTTTTCTCTCTCTAATCTTCTTCTATAAGAGCCAATCTTTGGACGCCTTTAGCTTTGGGGGTGAGTCCACCCACACATTTTGTACCGTTGAGAAGAGCTCAGCTGGTGCGCATATGTTGTTTGGACTTCTGCCCGTTACTCACGCGCTTGTTGCCTTTTACCGTCTTTCTTTATTGCGCGGAGTATTCCCGAATACGGCCAGATCGGATTCCACCCATTTTGCCTTTTCTCTCTCTCTCTATTTCGAGTACTATAATTGTGTGTGTTTTGATTTGAAATCCGTTTGTAAAGATCCCACGCCAACCTTTTTTTGGATTAAACTCTATTCTTAACTTAATTTATTCGAGCATACTCCACTTGTTTTTTTTTTGTTTTGAGAATACTTCTTAAAATATTGTCACTTTGCATGAAATAAAGTAGTCCGTGAAATTTTAAAATTATTGAATTCATTTTATTTAAAATTTGGCATAAAAATTAAAACTTAAATACGGAGTATTTAGCAAATATATGAAAAATTCCAAGTTCTATAAAATTTGAGATGTCAAAAATATTTTATTTTATTAAAGAATTAACCTAGAGTACACCAACATGAGCTAATCCATTTGTACACCAAGTCAATACAGACACACACATATACAAAATATATGTGCTGCACAGACATTTTGTGTGTGTGTTGGCTTGGTGTACAAATGGAGTACCTCATGTTGGTATACTCCTAGCATTGTCCTTTATTAAATGATCAATGAAAGCATACCAAAAAAATAAAAGTTTTCAAATAGTTGAGACTGACAATCTCTTAAGAACAGAAAGAGAATTATATTTCTTAAAAACTCCAGAGTAAAATTAATTTTACATGGAGTATATTTTAAAGAATAAAAAACTTAAACGAGGTTAAAACATGATGAAATAATCAAAATAAGTCTAACATATTTTTATCCTCAAAATATGACCAAAATTCATTTTTAAAAAATTCGGTGATGATCCATTAAAGAAATTGGTGTTGAACCATTTCGCATCCCAATTCTATACGAAGTAGCAAAAACTATAATTCTAATACATATGGACAAACAAACATGATATTGAATAATGTCAAACATGTCAATGTATTATGTCACAAACCACAATGAAATATCAAAAAATAATGTGATTTAATTTGGAAACATACAATCTCATGCTCGCATACCGCGTCACAATACAAAAATTAAAAAATTCTGACAAAATTTTTCATGCAAAAAAAATAAATAAAGTAAAAGAACAAAAGAAACACACCCCAAAATTAAAAGAAAAAATTATAGAAATCCGACATACTCAAAAAGGGAAATAATATTTATATTCTATTTTTGCTAATGCCACAATTTACTATTTAGGTCATGCTTTCTTCAATTAATTCTTATTATTTAATATTTTTTCTTATTAGAATAAGATCAGACTAGATCAAATCAGATAAGAAATAGTTTTAAATATAACTACATTAATATCAAATTTGATCAAATCAGATTAGAATTTATTCTAATCAATTTGGAACCATTCAGATCAAATGAAGAGAACATGGTCTTAGCCCTGTTCTTTTGGGTTAGAATTTTAGATTTAGATTTTGGAAAAAACTGAAAGAATTAGAAAAAACTAGAAGAATTGTAAAATATTGGAAGAATTAAAGTGTTAAAAAGTCATTTAATTAAATGATCACCTAAATAAATCTGAATGAAACTCTAATTTGGGACTAAAAAAATTGTTTGGAAAAAATTAGAAGAGATTGAAAAAAAATAGAATGAATTGAAAAAAGTTGAAAAATTAATTTTTCTATCTAAAAAAATCGGACTTTAAAATGCCAATATAAAAAACTAGTATACAATTAAAATAAATACCCTCTCCCACTAAAAAAAAACCTATTGTTTTGATTTTAGTGTTCTATGGAGTATTTGGATAAAACTTTTTTGTGGATATATATGAATATAGTTCCACTTAGAGTTGACCATAACAATTAAAGAGTTTAAAGGAAAGGTGACCATAACAATTTAAACCATTTGATTCCACATGAAATTTAAAGATGAGTGTGAGCTTCCAGAGCAGAACAAGTAAATCAAGGAAGTCGCGGAGTGGGTTTATTTTCTACTCCCTCATATCCCTAAAAACATTTCTCTTTTCTTTTTTTATCCGTCCCAAAAAATACTTTTCATTTCTATTAAAAAGTCACTTTTACCTTTTAGTTTTTCATACCCTGTCTATCATATCATATATTTTTACTAATAATCTATCCATCAAATCATACTTTTATCCGTCACATCAAAGAACATTTTTGGAAATTCAATACCAAAATACACTTTCTTTCGGGACGGAGGGAGTATTTTTTTATAATAAGACTAATTTAGGCCATATCTTCAAAAAAGTTTACATCTTATATGAGATGAAAACATAATACCTATGGGTGGGCATGGGTCGGATCGGGCCGATTTTTATAGCATCCGGTCCCGACTGGTTTTTAGAATAAACGGGCCGAGACGGGTTGGATTATTGAAAAAAATACTTAGAACCGGCCCTAACCCGACTTGTTTTAAATCGTTCGATTTTGCGGGTTCGCTGGCCCGTGAGTTTTTTTCTATTAAATTAAAAATTTAAAATACATCATATACAATTAAACAATGTATATTAGTATAGTCACTAGAATACTACACTTTTTTAGACTAATCCATGCTTTCCATAAATGAATTAAAAATAACTTATAACATACAACCAATAAAAGACTTTCGCCAATTAAAGTTGTAAGACGTATAAGAAAAAATTATGATTGACAACTAAAATTTTACTAATTATTCTATATATATAACTTTATTACTAGAATATTGAATATATCATATAGAACTTATTTATTAATACAATTTGATGATTGAGAATATTTTAATTAATTTAATACTTTTTATATTTATAATTTATTAAATTATAAGAAACGTGTCGGTCTCGATCTTCTTGTTTCTAAATATTAGGAACCGGGCTGACTTGTTTTTCTAGAGGACCCATCTCGGCCAGACTTTTTTTTAAATATAAAACTTAGACCCGACCCTAACTCGCCCTGAACCATGCGTTTGGTTCCGACCCCGGTTCTAGGACTCATTTGCCCACCCCTAATAATGCCTATATTTTGGGGCAAATTCTTCCGCCGACCTAAGGTCTATGCTTGTTTTACGACTTTAATGTATTTGTAGCATAAACAGACTCGGCCTTTGGCAAAGTAGAAAATATTCACATGAAAGCTCATGTAAAATTAATAAGGTCTACGCTTTAAATGTGAACTTTGGGACTATAAATGCATCACTCGTATTTTGGAGATAATGAGTATCTTTTAGTTTTATTAAGACAGATTTCTTTATTTCTAAACTATATCAAAAGATTAACATTATAACCCGAGTATATTATTTCATTTAATTATTTTAGTTAAAATATATCATAAAAATATACTCCTTTTGTCTCAGTTTATTTGTCTAGTTTGACTTTTTTTATTCAAACAAGATAAGCTTTAACTTTAGTTAAATAAAACATGAAATGTATATTAGCATAAGAATAACTGTATTAGAATAATCTTGTTGAGATCTTTTAAAATTTAATTTCATTATACTAATATGAAATACAAATTGAGAGTTATTGAAGTTCAAAGTTTATCTCATTTAACTTAAAAAGGTCAAATTGAGCAAATACACTAAAATCGAGGTAGTACTCTGCAATTTTGTTGTGTTAATAGTAATAATAATGATCTTTTGATGATGGAGGAGTATTATCATGATGTCACAATTTTCTTTCTAGTTGCTCTAATACTCCCTCATTTTATTTACAAATCGGTACGTATATCGATAAAATATAAAAATTACATGTTAAAAAATTACGTCAAAAGTTTTACAAAACAAGAGGTGACAGAAATATTTTATTTTATTAAATACTTAATAAAATCGTGTAAACAAACAAAAGTTATTGAGAGGAAAGAAAAAAATTGTAATTAAATTGAAGACGGAGGGAGTAGAAATACAGATACAGCACCTTAATAGCCTAATAATACTCAAAATAGCAGTGCTATAGGTTTTTGAGATGAATTCCCAATTTTGTCCTTAATTAAACACCCAAAATTGAATACTCAATTAGGTTAAAAATAAGTAATTGGCCGCCTCACGCAATACAATCGTCTAGACACGGCCAAACGCAGCAGCTTTGGGAAAGAGACGCAGTGCTAGGTTTCAATGGCAAGCGATGATGCGTTCCTCTTAGCAAAAGATTGGAGAAGATACAGGTATGCTTCATTTTGGCAGTGAATTCGTTACTTTGGCATAGTTTTAAGGTTGGTAGTACTTTGGCATATTACTAACTTTGTCGGCAATACTTTTGTTTAATTTGGCAGTGAATTGTTAATTTTGGCATTAGATTTGGCTTGTTTTTTGTTTCACAGTATTCATGGCGCACCGTTTGCAGTGGGATTTTTTCCTTCGGTTGGCAGTGGGGTTTTCTTTTCACAATATTCCTTAGGTTGGCAGTGGGGTTTTTTTTCCTTTGGTTGGCAGTGGGATTTTTTTTCCTTCGGTTGGGAGTGGGGTTTTTCCTTAGGTTGGCAGTGGGTTTAATTTCTTGTTGGCAGTGTGTTTTTTGTGAATTGATGGCAATGAGTTTAAAGAAGAATAGATAATTGATTAAACGAGTGAATTTTTTGGCGGTGTGTTTTTTGGGGTTTTTTGTTCTCCACTGAAATGTAATTGGTTTTTTTGGGGGGTTTTTGTTTTTTTGGTTGTGTGGTTTTTTGAGTTTTTGGATTTTTTACTGAGGCTGTGAGTTTTCTTTAATGTTGTCTGTGGGTTTAAATTGTTGATGGCAGTGTGTTTAGAGAAGAATAGGTAAATGATTAAAGTAGTGAATTGCTGCATTGTTTGGTAGTGGGTTTAAATTATTGTTTTGAATTGATTTTGAAAGTGTTGCTACGTTTAGCGGCGGATTTGAATTGTGAACTATTTGTGAAGCTTACCTTGCTGGTCTATTGTTCTTGTAGAAAGCTGAAGTGGCCTCAAAAGGTGTTCTACAAGATAGGAGAATTAACATGTATTGTAACGTGAATGAGGTCGCAAAACAGATAAAGAAAATTCTGACTACTGAAAAACTAGTCAAATTCAGAGAATC